GGGCAATCGTGGGCCCAGATAAAGGGGACATCAGAAAGTAGAAGAAAGTGGAGACGTGCTGTTGAAGCCCTATGTTCCACTCAGAACCCAAGGGTACAATATTAATACTCTTCATAACCAATAAAGTCGTTTTCAGATTAGTGAATTTATTTCAACTTCAGGAATGTATCAAGCGAGTCATTATCAAATAGAGAAAATTTTCAAATGTCAGACTACACATCTTGGTTTCATTCTACTGAACGTTTCTCTCTATTTATAGATCATCTTCATCATTATCGCTTTCTCGTTTCTTCAAGAAACATCCTCTTTAAGGTAGAAAAGATTAAAATAAGTAGAATCGATGGGTGTACATATAATTCCTACTAACGTGAATTTATGTTGACCATTGCTGGATTATGCGTCAGACAGCGAGAAACGAGAAGACAGGGATATCCTGGACCGACGTGAAGAATCTAGAAGACCTGGATTTTGCGGATGATTTATGTTTGATGTCACACAAAATCGAAGACTTACAAGCGAAAACCGACAAACTGGTCAAAGAAGCAGCAAAGACAGGACTCCAGGTGAACATAGACAAGACGAAGGTTGTGAAAATAACCAACCAACAACAACAACAGCAGGAACATCCACCACCAATCACCTTCAACGGGGGGATTTGAAAGAGGTTACTTCATTCACTTATCTAGGGAGCATTGTCTCAACTACAGGAGGAACGGACGAGGATGTCAAATCGAGAAACGGGAAGGCGAGAAACACATTCATCAATCTGAAACCAATCTGGAAATCTTCGTCACTCAGCATCAACAACAAAATTCGGATTTTAAATACAAACGTCAAGTCAGTCAGTTCTTCTATACGGATCAGAAACTTGGCGGGTCACAGAGAATATTTTCAACAGGTTGCAAACCTTTATCAACAACTGTCTTCGCTCCATACTGAAGATCAGATGGCCGGAAAGAATCACAAACAAGAAACTAAGGGAACAAACAAAACAAGAATAAATCACCTAGAAAATATGCAGGAGAAAGTGGAGATGGATTGGACACTCGCTGAGGAGGCCGCTAGGTGACATCACGCGTCAGGCCATTGCTCGAGTGGAACCCGAAAGGGAAGCGGCGAGAGGGACGTCCAAGGGTGACATGGAGGAGGAGTTGAAACAGTATGGATTAACATGGATGCAAGTGAAAAGTACAGCACAAGACAGGAGCAAGTGGAGGCGTGCAGTTGAAGCCCTATGTTCCACTAGGAACCTAAGGGAACAATAATAATAATATAGTCCTTGAAATTATTTTAGATATCTTTTCAGGCTGATGAAAGATAAGTAACGTTTCTATAATTTAGAATATTTCGGTCCTGATGCCATATTTTTTATTAGTATAGTAGTCATAAACGTTTGGTATAAAACATGGTCGATGAATAATTAAATGTAGGTCTATTACTTGTGACAAGAAATTGTATGTAATGATTGTATAGATTTTCTTATTGGATCAAGTGTATGATGAATTTTCTTTCCATAATGTAGTTTTGTTTTAAATACGAAAGAAATTTTGAAAAAGTTTACTTATCTAATGTTTGTTTGCAGAGCTTTGTTTGATTCCAAAGTGGTATTCATCAGGAAGTTATATCAGTTACAGAACTGTTGAAAACCAGCGTGTACTACACAAATCTTTCGCCTTGCTTTCGGACTCCTCTACAGTACATACCCATCATTGCACCAGGAATCAGAATCTGGGCTGCTGTTTTTACAAAATAAATTACCATTTTGAAAACAAGCTTCATCCATTTGGTTCGCTTACTTTTCCAAACTTATCTTACAAAAAATGTTTGTTAACTTGTTAGTTGCTTTTATAGGGAGAAATCATATCAAGCTAATTCGATTTCTATGTGGTTAATTAGTGTAAGATTTTATTTTATCCAGAAATGGATAGTTGATAGTCTACATATGTTAACTTCTTTTCCAACGCGTAATTAGCTTCATCTGTGGTTCATTTCAGTAGGAGGCTTTTGCTAATCTAATTTATTTATGACCAGTACTAATTATTGAATAAATCTTTCTTTCATTCTTACCAGCTGGAAAAAAACAGTTTTTTAAATAATCTTAAAGTCGTATAAGTAAATAACTGTATCAGTGTTTGACAAAACAGTTTGTTAAATTAACAATCTCTTGTTGTCTTATTTATTTTTTTCAACACTAATATGCTTATTTGGACTTTGTTTTCACGATAAAAAAAGTTGTAATTTATGCCACATGTATCGGTGTTAAATCAAGCAAGTAGGACAAACTATTAGAATACTGGTAATTTGTGTAATTCCACAGGATTTTAATTAGCTGATTGTAAACTAAAGCAGTGTGGCTTATAATTACTGAAAAAGACAAAAACATGCTCTACCGCGAGCTTGAATATAGCACAATTGATTATGCCACGTCCCGTACTGTAGACTAATTTATGTTTGTTTGTGTGTGTGTGTGGTCACACATACATGGAGAGAAGTAATTACACTTTGTACATAAGGTTAGGGGAACACATAGTAGGTACATTCGGATGACGAGTCCTAAATAGGACGAAATGCACATCCTGGATTCCATTGCTAGTCATCATCCACGAAATATGGCTAAATGGCCTGAAAAACAAATGAACTGTGAAACCTCAATAAGCACAGGTGACAGACTGCCAACTTTTTCTATAGGAAAATACTTAATTGATACGAATCACAAGATTGACATTAAAACAGCTATCAAGATCATCTATACAAACTTTTAGGAGTGTATGCAGAAGTACCCTGAGGCGATAGCTATCTGTAAATTAAGTCTTTTCTCCCTATGCGTATAAAGATAATTTATTATTATCCTTAACCTACTTTGAAAATTTGTATCTCATTATATTACTAAAAGAAGTATTACATATTATCAGTTTTAGTCGTAAATCTCTTATCACTTTTGTTTATTTTAATTGGATTTTCAGTTTTCACATAAACTGACTTGACAAGTGAAATCTGTGATCAGATTTTCCGAAATGTATTGCGCAAGTATGTCACAGTTTTCAATTAAACTTTTCTTCCAAAAACGTTATTCCAATCTATTAAAAGGACTGAATATATATATATATATATATATTTATATATATTGTGGTTATGCTGTAAATTTATGGAAATAAAAGCATTATGCTAACATATGATGAAGAAGAGCGAATCAATAAAATACAATCGGACAGTGTCATTCATCAAAGTTGCAAACTTCAGGTCAAGGAAACAATCAGTACCAATACAAGTAGCCTAGAGGGTGTGAAAACACACAAAAACAACCAATCACGTTCAGAGCCACCAGGAGAGATGACTTATAAACTCTTGTGGAGAAATCTAAAAGCTCACTTCAAATTGAAGTATGCGCTGAAGATGTTGCCTCGTAGGGCAATGAAAGCTTCTCAAATAAACCATCCAGCTCAGAGAACACAACAACATCAAAACTAAGTCAACCTTTTTCTAAAAGAAAACTATATTACTTGTAAAGTAATAGGTTAGTAGTAATATCTAACTGTCTAACTCTGATAGTTGTGTCACTGTGTGTTAAGACCAAAATCGACGTGTTGTGGTCTGAACGCTGGAAACCAATCTTTACTTCCCACTTTATAGCCAACCAAAACTTGAGTTACTTACAGTCACAAAATACCCCAATGACAATAAAAAGACAGTTACTCGTAATAAAATCTGCGGTACTTATCAGTAATCTTGGTACATAAGAGCTCAGTGCTGTTAGGCAGCAATAAAGATTTAACAGTTTCTTGAATACAAAACAATTACCATAAAGCAGAATTAGTATTTGATTGGTGGATGGTGACTAGCAGTGGAATCCAGGATGCATATTTCGTCCTAATTGGGACTCGTCAGCTGGATTTACCTGCGTTTCTCAGTGAGTGATGATATTCCCACCGAGGCTCGAACCCAGTGCTGACGAGTGACAAATAGGACAAAATGCGCATCCTGGATTCCACTGCTAGTCACCATCCACCAATTAAATACTAATTAAATGCCCGGACATCGTCGAGGCATCTGATCAAGAAGCCGACATGTCAACCTGAGACCGAGCACTTCGGTCCAATCCATCGACGGGAAAATCTAAAATTCAATTAAAGCAGAATTGTTAAACCAAAATCAGCTGTAAGAAGCACCTGAGAATCAAGTAGAATATTCCTAGCATGATGGGATCAAAACTCTGTCAGGAAGAATCATGAACCAATGCTTCCCGCAGATAGTTCAAGGTCATAATGACCTTGACTCACTCAAACAAAATGATAGTCACAAAGCAACATATTATCAATATCATTACACAACCGCTAAGAGAAGCATTGAAATTAAAGACTGAACAGGAACAAAGATAAATAATTAGGACTAAGTGAACAGATGATATGCAAAACCCAGAGTAATGGTATACAGTCTAGAAGAAAAACGGATTATAATCATAGTTAGTTGGAACATCCAAATAAGTATCAATATCAATAATCAGACCGTTCAGAAGAAATTTTCCAAACAGTTATTCCATTACACTGTATTACGTATAAGCCATGGTAACTAAATTATAATAAAATACACCACGTAATATAGCGGGAATAGTTTAGCATTGAACCATTCGCCTTTTTGTGTACAGATGCTTAACTTAATTGCAAGATGCACATCTAACTTCTGAAGTACAAATATGGAAAATAAATCAACAGTAGGTTTCGCAACTATTCTAATGAAGTATTTGGAATTAGTTATAACTTTCATTTTTCAAGGATAGCCCTGGTAAACATTCTCAATGACTTTAACTGTTCACAGTTGTGACGAGTTATTAGCCAACCCTTAAAAGAAGAAAACAGACAGAGTTTAGCTGTCAAACTCAGGCAGCTGTCTATTTGTTTAATCATACATCAGCCAACAGTTCATAAAATATTAAGTAAGAGAACTTTAATACTGTATGAGATATTAAGTACACATATTAAATCACAATTAGATAAATTACTTACTGGACTCCAGTCACTGTATGTCCGTGAATGACTACTTTTGTTAACTAGAGTATTTCTGTACATGGTTGGTGAAAATGAAGATGATAATAATGGTGAATTATTTGCAGATCTTGTCTTTCCATTAGCTTTTGATGAATGCATCCGAAATCGATTAAAAAACTGATAGTTCTTCAATTTCAACGATGGACTTCCTTCTGGTGATCGACAGTTGTTTTTTGATTTATATATTGGAGGTAGTGTATTCTTTTCTTTTGACGTTGTAGAATAATCGACTGGCTCATCATGGTTATTGGAGGCTGAAAGAAAGATATGTTATTTAGTGTCGGCTTAAAACTGTGAACACGAGAAATTGTATGAACAACTTAGGATGTTTATGATACGAGATAGGTGAAAATGAAACCTTTTCTGGCTACACCAAATCACCACACACGGTAATTTATAATTAGAGATTCCCAAAGTTTTACGTTTTAGATGTATCCAGTAATCAAGGTAGTAGAACAGCATAGACGTTTAGTAACCAACATCGAAATCACCATAACTACTGACAGCATGCAAATCACGAAAGATTATTCTGTCAACCAGCAACAAAGATTGCGTACTTACGTAAATTAATCCTTTTGATGAATCCTTCCTAAACATCAGTCTTATGTTGTAATTTCAGGATTATTTTTCACACGAAACGAAATATTATGTTTTGTCATTTGAAGGTTAAAATCACACACATATCGCAATAGCCAAAGATACACATCACATATTTTATTAGTAGTTTTAAAAGAATAGTGCAAATATATTAAAGACTGTTAAAATGTGGATAAAGTTCACTATTTCCCGTAGACATAATTTTGGATGAATAGTTTTAATTCAATATTTATTCAGTTCTGTCACTTTTAAGGTGAAGATAGAAGTCAGATAAGGTTATCTACTATCACCGATATTGTTTCTGATTTTGGTAGACTGGATCATGCGGTAGATTGTGCGAAATGAAATGATGGAGACAAATTGGACAGACCATAATGACCCTAGAACATCAGATTTTCAGCGATAATTTGTACTTCGAAAATTTACGAGCGAAAACCAACAAGTTAGCAGAAAAAGCAGTGGAGATAGGACTTCAGGCGGACGCAGAAAAGAGAGGTGATGAAGACATTCAACCGGCAGCATCAATGTGTTTCAGTAACAATCAACGGGGGAAATGTGAAAGAAGCTATCTCTTTCACTTAGCTGAAATAGAAAGCATTATTTAAACTACAGGTGGCAAAGATGAGTGTGTCAAAACCAAGAAGGATCGATAAAGCAAAGAAGACTTCTTTACTCTGAAATCAGTGTGGAGGTTTACGGAACTTAACAAAGGGAAAAAGATCCAACATTTTAACAAATTTATGTCGAGTCAGTGCTTCTTTATCGTTTAGACAATCGGAGCGTGCATTGCTGAAAGCAGTTCAAAAGGATGTTGCAGATTTTCACCAACAGCTATCTTCACTAGATAATGAATATCAGATGGCGAGCTAGAAGGGATAAACAGCACGTGACGATTACAGTAGACCAGCAAAGAAACGATTGCTCAACAAATATGCAGATGGAACTGGAGATGAATTGGACATATTGTAAGAAGCCCTTTAAGTGGAATTACAAGCCGGGCCATCCAGTGGAGCCCGATAAGGAAGCGATGGGTTTAGTGTCTGAGGATAACATCTAGATCATTTGGAGAGGAAATAAAAGTTTGTGGGCGTTAGTAAAGCCTAATGAAAATACTAGTGGAGAATCGAGTGCCTTAGAGGTGTTCCGCTGAAGCCATATATTCCACTTGGGATGCAAAGAATGAATAATAATAATGCATTCTAAATTTTACACATAGGACCATAGATATATTTTCTTCTAAGTTATATAAAGATGACTTCTCATTCTTCCCCATGCTGAGGAAATGAAAACAGTTAAACTACAAGTTTTAAAATGAAAACATGAAGAAAATCTCCACATAAACTGCAAAATGCATAGCTTATGAATGAAATATTTGTTTTAAATCAGTGAGCCATGGCTGTTCAGTTCTAGTTTTCTGATTAAACTATGAAACTAATTTTCAAGTGTTAGTTTAGAGGTCTTTGATTGATTTCAGTTTTGATCAAGAAGTGAAAAGTCGTAATTAACTTGGGCGTGAGGACAGATACTCGTCGATGACACTGACTGGCGGTTGCGCTATATTGCAAATTAAAAGGAAGTAGAATTTGTAGGCCATCGAATTTCGTACAAGTGTTAGGGATGGCTGAAGGTGAAGTGAAAATCTGGGTTGTGGTCGAATTCGAAACAGTGGTGCTCTGATAGATAAGCTACAGGACTCAACTACCAACCAGATCACCACTTCAATATAATCACTGCGAGTAATGTTCAGCACTCAGCTTAAAGAACAAGATTCGGATTTTCAACACAAAATGTCAAATCAGTCAGTCAGTTCTTCTATACGGGTCAGAAACTTGCACTGCGTGTCACGAAAAGGATTTCCAACAGTCTACTGCAGACTTTTATAAACAGTTGCCTTCACTGGCTCAATACTGAAGATCACTGGATCGCCAGAAAGAATTAGCAACAAGAAACTATGGCAATGAAAGAACCAACCAAGAGCCGATTGCTAGACATATATGTAGGAGAAAATGGAGATGCATCGGGCTTAACAGCAGGAGGCTATCGAATTACATCGCACGCATTAATGGGAGGCGACTAGTGAGTTGTCGGGGTGAGCGTGACATGGAGGAGCTGAGAGATTATGGGTAATCTTGGGCGCGGCTGAAGAGGAGAGCAGAAAATTGAACAAAGTGGAGATGTGTTGTGGAAGCCCTATGTTCCACTTGGAACCCAAGGAAATAGTAATAATAATAATTCTCGGACGTCAAATAAGGTTACTGTCCCAGAGTTTCATTTCACTTTTAATCACTAAGCATTGCAATAATGACTGTCCACCAACTGAAGACTATCTGAAAGTCTCTTAATTATTAAGATTACTGACCATTTATTAATCATAAAACTACTCTAGTGGATTTTATAATACTTTTCGACTGAATTCCGATGTGTTGTCATATGAATTGCTTAACTTTTTGTTACTAATAGACGTTAAAAAACTTAGCATAATGCGATTATTCGAATGTGGTTTTGTTGATCAGTTATATTTCCATTAGATGGCTGGAGAAGCCTCGGACCTAGGTTTCCTGCTTCTTAGCACTATTCCTGCTTCCTACTATCTGATATCCACGACGCTGAGTCACCTAGTTTATTGACCACATTGCAAAACTGACTAATGACTTGCAGTATGCACCAACATCAATGTCATTATGCTTTGCATTAAGAACTTCTTGTTTTTATTTGGATATCTTTTATGGAGGTTTTCTTAAATCATCCAACTACTAAATTTTCCACAGGGCGCAATCCAGAAAATTTACCAGGTTATACTTTGTTTTAACCAATTGTTCACGTTCTTGACGAATAATCTGTAAACGTGAGCTTTTTTGAATGGCTTTTAACAAATCACATGGTATGTTTTGAAGGGGCATAGACGTTAGGAGTAAAAGTATGTTATATATTAAACTAAATTCCGTCGAGTGATATACTGTAGATTACTGTTTCACTTAAAGATTATATACATGGAGTGGTGGCACAGCGGTAGGAAGCTTGCCAACTACGCAGGTGGTTCGGGGTTCGATCCCCCGACGATGACGCACTCCTTTACCTCACTAACCCAGTAATAAGTCCGGTAAAGAGGGAAGGTTGGGCCATCCCGTAAAAATAAACACCACTGCAACCGAAACTTCAAGCCTCTAGCTTGAAGCCCTATGTTCCACTGGGAATGTAAAGGAATAAAAAACATTGACTGGACAAAGCCAAGCTGATAGTTCTACACAGCATGTAAACGTTTGTTCAGAAGAAAAGCTGGTATTATTCAGTTATTTGAGGAATATATTACGAATTGGATTATTTATGACATTTCTAATATTTCTAAATATTTAATATTTTGGCTACATGTATATTACGAGAGTGAAAACATACCGTTTACACACTGAAATTCATCATGGCGACTGTTTCAGTGAAAGCCAAAATTCATTACTTATATTACAACGTCGTGTGTTACTTTGAACAACTGATAGTGCTAATAAACGCTAAGTGCTTCGAACTTAAGATAAGTGCTTTCTATTTCTTATTAGAATGGAAGAAGCATTTCTAATCGTAGCGATAATTCTATTTATTTTGATGATTCACAATTGATCACTATCAGTTATTACTTACACTGCATTTTTTAATTACCTGTCTCGTTTGAAGTGAAAAAAAATAAAATTACTCCAAAATTATATTACCTCCCTTTATTTTCAAACTAATTCCAAAATCTAAATGTGTTTTATGGAATTTACTACCTGAAAATGATTTAATGGATGTATAGTCAAAGAGTGTATTGCTTACTGCTATAGCCTACTACAAAAGTAGTAACGCGAAGAATGTCAAATTTAAGCCTGATAACATTTCACATAAATTATTCGTCGGAAATTAATTTTTTTTAAATAGTTCGACTGCATATTTAAAACACTGTACAATTGGAGCGCATTAAAAATTCTTATGATGGGATGAAGCTAAGGGTAGTCAGTATTCATAGGGTTAGAAATGTATAGAATAAGTTGTTTAGCCACTTCCATAAAAATCATGATAAACTTTATGTTGGGTGTCTAATTCAATTTAGACTTTCCATTCAGACATCGTCGAAGCATCTGCACAAGGAGCCAACATATCGATCTGAGACCGATCCAATTAATTGACGTGGAAATCTAAATTGAATTAAATAACTAATAACAAATATTGAATAAGAAGTAGATCTCATGGCCCAAGTGGTATAGTGGATAACGCTTTGGCGTTTAAAACTATGGACACTGGGTTTGAGCCTGTGTGGGAACATCATCACTCACTGCGGAATGCAGGTACGTGCAGATGACTAGGACTAAATGCGCATTCTGGATTCCATTGCTAGTAACCATCCACCAATTGACTTTAAGTTGGGTGGACTGAAATATAAGTAGAACATCTGTGTTTGAATACATTCCGATAAAAGTTCTTATTTTACAGTATAGAAATAAATTTGGAATGAATGGTTTAGTATTGCTTTATTCCCTATACGGCATTTTTTTGTTCAAAGCCTCTTCATTTAGTTTTCAATCTCCAACATTTATACAAAAGATTTCGGAAGGAAAGGTTTAGTTGGTAATAATTACAAATTATGTTTTGTGATAACATGAAGGCTGAAGGAACAAATTTCAGCCTCTCAGTAATTACATTTAATGCAAGTTAACATATAATCTGACGAGAATACTGTAGAAAATCAATAAATGAATACATATTTTATCCTCTACAGTAATTGGTCTAAAGATTTTAACGTTAATTTGCATCATCAAATCACACGAACCAGTAATGAGTAACATAATATACTAAAGCTTTTAGAGATCATGACGAACCGAAAACTAGAATGAAATATTACTTTATCAAATTAAGTCTATTACACAATACGAAATGCAGCACCAGGTGTCAAATGTTTGATTCTAGGTGCTTCATTTTCACTCTTTTGTTGAATTATACATAGTGGGCTGTATATGAAGTGAAACCAGAAGCTCGTGAGCAGGAATTCTTGTACCTAGGTGTTTTTTTGTGGGACATTATCAAGATGTACTTACAGATTTGAAGAAACCTTTGTATCAACAAATTTTCTTCAAAAATCTAATATATATGATGTCAGTGTGGAGCTGCACATTATAATAGTGTATTATTCCTTATTTATTTATTTTTTTTATTATAGCTTGAAACCACACCGTATGTAATATCGGTAGCCCAAATTTTGCAGGCCGACCATAGATATCAGGTGTACGTAGACAGGGGATCAAATCCCGGACCATGTGCATGATCGGCGAGAGTCCCAACCGCTATGCCACCGACGCACACAAAGACGTTATACAAACTTAGAACTTGACAGTTACGTTGACCACCCTGTTTGTTGCTTTGCATAATAAAGCACACACATGTGGTGAAAACTTCAATTATGCGACTTCCTGATATCGTTATTCCTATCATCAATATTATCATTAGTAATAGTAGTAGTATGGTCGTGTAGAGTATTCGGCTCTATTGATTGACAAGTACTACTACCACTACTGCTACTGCTACTACTACTATATGTTCTTATAGTCAACAACTCTGACGACTCTTCACTATTCAACTGCTCCGCATCATCGTTATTAACTACTAATTTAAAATATTCTGTGTATATAAACATATAAACCTCTTTTACCTACCTGGGAAGCATCGTTTCAACTACAGGCCGACGAAACTGACGAGGATATCAAAGCAAGAATCGGAAAAGGAAGACAAGCTTTCATTCCTCTCAAGTCTGTGTGGAGGTCAACAGCACTCAGCATAAAAAATAACATCCGGATTTTCAACTCCAATGTGAAGTCAGTCAGTGCTATTATACGGATCAGAGACTTGCACTGCGCGTCATGTAGAGCATCTCAAACAAACTACAGACCTTCATTAACAGTTGTGTTTGCTCAATACTCAAGATCAGATGGCCAGCCAGAAAACATCAGCAACAGGGATCTCTTTGAGCGAACCAACACAGCAGGAACCGACTGTGAAACAAATTGGCAGGAAGAAATGGAGATGGATTGGCCATACTCTGAGGAAACCATCAAGTAACATCACTAAACGAGCCCTCGAGTGGAACCTGAAAGGGAAGCGGCGAGTTGGTCGTCAGTGCAAGGGTGACTTGGAAGAGGTCATGTGAAGAGGAGATGAAAACGTGTGGGCAGACATGGAGCCAGGTGAAGACTCTAGCAGAGAACAGAACGCAGTGGAGACGCACGGCTGAAGCCCTATGTTCCTCTAGGACTTAAAGGAAACAATAATAATAATAATAATACAAACATTTATATAATTGTAGAGCCTGGAAGAGGAATTTATCGAAAAGAATATTCTTTGCTCGATTATTTTGTGTTTTATAAATACACAAATGTTTGAATAGCATGTTGATATTCATTATTTCAGTTTGGCTTTATATGACAGACAAAGAAAACTACCGATTGTGGTACTCGCGAGATTTGAGTATCTAACCACTAACGAATGGTCATTTATTTTACTAAAATCTTACAAATCCTGATAATGAAAATTTGTAGAACAGTAAACAAAATCGACTCTCCAGTTGTCTTTCGCGTTTTGGACAAAATTTATTGGATTTTCTGACAACAAATGCATTATTTATGCACTCATTAACGGGATATAGCCTCCGGCATTAGACACATTTACTGTCTGAAACATTTAAACTTGAGTTATTCATTTTCACATATCAGAATGTCCTGTCTTTCTGTATACACACGTGAGATTTTACAGTGCATGCAGTTTTGCTTATTTATGGCTGAAAATTGACAATTGAAATACTTCTAGTTCTCACGTGACATATTCAAGTTAGCTGGCTTTCAATATCCCTCTCTATTTCTTTTGCATTTAAACTCAGATACTCGAATATAACAGTCCTTCTTAATCGTGAAGCAGATCACTGCCAGAGTGAGATGCAATACGAAAGTGGAAATAAGAGTTTAGCATTATCTAACTAATTGAGCAAGAATAATTTTGTTGTTTAGTATGACATTAGATAGTTGGAGGCAATCGGAAGGAAGCCTTCGACCTAGGTTTCATGCTAGTTGGCACTCGTCAGCAAGGCGTATCTGCAGCCTTGAAGGAACTCATGTCCCTTCTGAGATTCGAACCAGCGTCACTCAGTGCTGCAGTCAGAGACGTTACTACTGAGCTAGTATGACAATTATTATCAATATTAATTATCTACATTACACTATAAAGTACTATCTCATTCTTTAAAGAAAGAGAGAATAAAATATTGACTGTTCATCAAAGATTCGTCTGCAATAATAGAACTATTCATCTACCTTCCCGTTATTATTGGTAAGTGGAAGTAGTAACGAGTTTCGACTGAGATTTTAAATTATTATCCCTATAACAAGTATTATCGTTGGTGAAACTAAAATATCTACCGTTTTACCTTGAAAATCTAATATAATACCATGGACGAAGCAAGCTTATAAAGCCAGTCAAATATTCTCTTAAAATAACACAAGGCGATAATAATCGGTTGTTAAGAAAAACTTAAAGTCTACTATTGTACAATAATAAGACGACAAGCTGAACGTGTAGGCATAAACTAAACGAATACGCAGTCATTATGACGTTAAACAGAGGTGCCTGAGAGTACTTCGTAGGGGCTTTAAACTAAGTTTTAAATTTTACTTAGGCTAAAAATGATAAAGAAATGTGGGATAGCGATTTTGTTTAGTGAAAAGCCGCTCTAATAAAATTAGACTTTCACCAAAAAGATTTTCTTGTTTATAACAGCGGAATTAAAAGGGAAGCAGTATATTTCACTTTAATGTAACAGTGACAATTGAAAGCTGAATTATTATAGAATTCTTGACAAGAGTAAAACCAGCTGTATCTGTATGTGGAAGTACTTAGGGTAGTTTTATTAGTTCAGCCAAAATGTTCTACGTCTGGTGGCATAAATTTATGGATAATGTTGTAAGTGTAATGACAATTTTTAAGTTTTCTCAGCTTATCTTTTTGTATACATAGCTTTGGAATTTAGTCTAGGTGTTATGTTATGCGGGAGTGAGGTTAGTGCACTTTCTACAACTTCGTGTATGTCATCACTGCATAGATTGCTTGATTTACTTCAGTTGTCTTGGCCCTCATACTGTGTTAGATGAAGGCTTTGTTTTACTATTTCTTGCTGGCATCTTAGAATGGCCACTTCCAATTTTTGTCTAAATCATGCCCAGCCGCCCTAATCTGCACATCGGATAAAGTCTGAGTGACTTCAGAATTTCTTCTGATCACTGCACGGATTTTTAATTAGGTCTTCATTTGAAACAGGCATATTAACTTCACTGTATTCTCCTAACTGAATATGTTATGGCAATGATAGGTCTAAGCGATCTTTCATTGTTCACTTGAGAAATTTGCGTCGTATCACATTAATTTTCTATTGAATCGTAATTAATCATACGCGTTGGAGGATTTCATCATGAGCTGATATCAGTTAAAGAACCGATGACAAACCTGGGAGTAATGGACGACTGTTTCGTCTTAGTATGGGGCTCTTCACAGTACGCACTCACTGTTCAGTACTCCTAGGTTTTTCAATGGTTCTCTAAATGATGTCAGCCCATGATGAAATCCTCCAAACAATCAAACAAAAAATCCCTACAAAACCAATACTTGAAAATTATCATACATGTATTCATGAAAACTGTACTGTTAAGATCGAAGCTTAAAACTATCTAGTGAAACTACTTTGGTTTTACTAAACGTCTAATTAAATGAACAAAATTAGATTTTTGACTAGAATTTCGATTTACTTACCTCGAGATTCTCTTCCAGACGATGAGCTGTAAAACAAAAATAAAGGAAAATACAGATGGAATATTAACTTTATTCTTAATAAACATCTGTCAACAAATAAAGTTAATACAACATTGAAAATTTTTTGAATTCCCGCACATTAGATCAAAATGCTTGTTCATTTGATCTTCATAAAGCGCTCATATGTTAGCCTAATGAAAAATCTGACTGATTTAAAGGTAAATGTATCGTAGGTTTGTTTTGTATGTTGAAAATTCCATATATGTACCAAAATTACTGTTTGGAATAAAGATTATTATTATTCACCAGCTAACAGAGTTTAAAACTGACATTCTACTCAATTTGAAATTACAAACTGTTGGCTACGCAAACTGATGGTTCTAGTCTAAAAATCTCACCATTTAATAAGTACGCGCTGCTGAAAATGCTTGAAACAGTATGAAATAGTTGTTCCCAGTTTCTATGGTTCCCTTACTGACTCTGGTTGTTAACTTGCCTACCTGTAACTTAAAAGGTAGCTAGCTAAAAACATTAAACATTTTCAATCCTAAATTGTCAAGCTTTCAGTTGTATGCACAAAAAACAATGATAATTATAAGTATATTGTGAGGAAAAACTATCACAGAGGACATTTTATCTCTAAATTAACAACTATATTACATAAAAATATTCAGAACTATCGTGCGGAAATTAATGTCGAGTACAGAAGATTCAGAATGGTAGTTCAAAACTGTAGTCAGGCAGTGAGATCATACTCATGCTATTAATTTCATTTGAGGACTTTATTTTGTGCATAACACGTCAGTAAACATATCTTAAACTTAATAATTCCACCGAGGTAATCTGAATTTAACTACCATTTTTAAATATAGGCATGTTTATTCAATACTGAAGACTGCTGAGCTTTCTACATTTAAGAACAGTTCTATACCTCGTATAGATATTAATTTTAGATAGTCTCCATGGGAAGATCAACTCACACGAAGTCGGTGCAAGACAGTGAAGGAAACCGAGTTACTAAAGAGGTGGAACAAAGGAAACGATGGTCTCGTCACTTCAAAGGACTCTTGGATCATACACCACCTATAAATCGTCTAGAAATACCACAAGCAGCCACAGAACCACTAATCCACTGACAAAAATAGAAGCCGTGAATACCATAAGATTAATAAAGGTCTGAAGACCATGAGGACTAGATGGAATTTCTATGGAAAGACTGAAAACTGACAGGCACCCAGACGAACATACACCACCATTGTAGAAGGTGTGGAAGGAAGTCAGTGTACCTGTGGATTGAAATAAGGACTACCCCGTCAAACTGCCAAAGAATGGCAGCTTAAGTCTATGCAAGAACTGGAGTGCCTAAGCCAGTCACGATGGGATCCAGACGGTGAAACAGAAGCTGATTACTCTGAAGTCGGTGTGAAAGCCTACAGAACGAAACATATGGCAAAAAATCCGAAATTCCAACGCATTAATATCAAGGCAGTGCTTGTCTACAGTTCAGAGACATGAAGCACCACCAACAGGCCGCAGATAAGCAACAAGGAACTCTCGTGGTCAGCCTACCTGCTAATAGCCTGTTCAGAGGAACCCCAATGAATGGGAAGCGACGCCTATGGAAAGTAATGTGCTACATCGTATGCTTGTGTGACACATGTTCGCTGTAAAACTCTTTTTACTTAGATTTCATATGTCTTTCCACATTCATTATTACATAAGTCATAACTGTTTGCAGTTTGAAGCATTTAACAGGATTTACGAAACACACTCACTGGTAATACTACCTAGTGGGCAAGTTATAAGCAAATTAATGTGTTAGAAGTTAGTTCAGATTCTTCAAATGTACCGAATAACACTATTTACTATATTTATACTTTAAAATTGCACAACGCTATTTATTGTTGTAACACATTTGCTCCTCTGATTTGAACTTTTAGCAACTGCTTTTCATTAGTTCTAATATTGTTGCTTTACGAATTTGAAATTAATTTTTAGGATTTCAAATGATATTTTCAGTCTTTCTGTACGAAGACACATTTAGGCAAATACTACCTTAATGCTAATAGCTACAGAACAATACTACTGTTCAGGTTAAAATCTATTTGAATATTTTGTAATATTCTTTAACTGATTTTTAATCTGCATTCCTGTTTAGTCAGCCGTTAACTAGTTATTATGTAATGAACACATGTGAAAAGAGCATTCCAATAAAGGTTACACGCAGCATAGGAGTGCAGTGTTTTGACCTGTAAGTCATTTATTGAATATGTAATTTTTCTTTTGTTACTGCATTAATTCAATAGAACAAGTAGTGAAAAAATAAAACCACAAAGACTTAATGTTTCATCTCTATGGTCTATGTGTAACGCTTATGTAATCGTTATTATTTTGTTCTTTCCTTCGGTTCCAAGTGAAACTAAAGGGGCACAAGGCCGGGAAGAGGGACGTTTGAGTGAACGGCTAGATACTCCACTACGTAACAAACTATCTCACAGCGACTGAAACATGAAAGCATAGAGAGATGGAGAATGGATGACGCCGGTTGGAGAAAGCCTTCTGGAAGCCAGTCTACCGATGTGTTGTCTTCCAATCTGAGGAAAAAAAAGCATTAGGACATGGGATGACCACATAATCTTTTTGAGATTGTTAAGTTTGCTCGGATTGCTGAAGAAATGAGAAGATATGGTATAATGCTCATAAAATATTTAAACTATGTTAGGAATATTCTCATTTTCTTAACTGTTTAATGAATAAAATTGAGAACTAAAGTCTAGTTTCTTATATTAGTTCATAAGCGCATCGGGAGAATAATAAACACAAAGTATTAACCTGCTCTATATAAGAAGTCTTTTCGCAGTAGGAATGATTTACGATAAGACTTTATTTTACATCAGCATCCCATGCATACAGAAATACAATTCAGATATGCTTGGGATATGAACTCCAAATGTATTAACTAGAATTTGTGGGTGTGATTTGTAAATCCTGACTTCTTTAGACAGTAGTTCCAATGAACTTATTGTATAGACATATTCGTTAACAGTACTCCCAGGTTTTCCAGTGGTTGTCTCGTGATGAAATCCTGTCGCCAGTTAAATCCTTGCAAACTAACACTTGAATATATATCTAAAACATGACTGCATCAAAGCTTTCTGAAATAAGTCATAGTATCTAGTTGGTAATTACTTATAACGTTTACTTCTGTCGGTATAATCTTCTCAAGTGTTGGTTTGTTGAGATTAGAATGATTCTAAGTTAGATTTCGTGCGTCGGTGGCGCAGAGGTAGAATGCTCGCCAACCACGCAGGTGGTTCAGGGTTCGATCCCCGGACGACGACGCACTCCTTTACCTCGGTAAACCAGTAATAAGACTGGTAAAGAGGGGAAGTTGGACATGAGGCTAGCAAACTCATTCTGTAAAAGTAAACTCTGCTGCTACGGGAACTTCAAGCCTCTAGCTTGAAGCCATGTGTTTCACTGGGAACGTGAAGGAATAAAATAAAAATAATAAGTTAGATTTCAACAATAACTGACACCTTTAATCTATGTCTCAGGCTGATTCACTTCATAAAAAATCATTTTTAATTCGTTCTAAAATAATACTTAGAACTAATATATATTTGAGTGACCTGGATTCTAATCATAATCTAGGAGCTTATTGAAATCATAATATCTCAATGAAACGATGAGCTTCTTTTCAGATAAGTCTGGAAAATCTGCAGGAAAAAAAACATTTAACCATAATTTAGCTTCATATTTTTTATACCCTACTGGGAATATACACTAATCCTTCCTTTTTTTGTTTTCTTCATTCACTACTAATTTTCATCATGACATATTGATTTAGTTATCATTTTTAATTAGTGCATGTGTTTTCCTATAATCAGATTAGACACATCTAGTTTATCTTACGTTTACGTCACCTGTTGAAATTTGTATTCGATTTTGTTTTATTATTACTGCTACTACTACTAGTATATACTACTCTTTTTCTTGTCTGTTCTCTTCATATTGAATGTAAGTAAAATATTCCTACGACATATATTACACAAAATGTTTTACATTTTAAAAATCATGTTTTATGCTCTTTTTTTTCATACTTGTTACATATGTTGAAAGGATTGTTAAGCAGAGGATTTTATAAACTTTCTGTATAAAAAAAATTTACTAGCAGACTGTTTCATGTATTGTTAAAATTTTCTAAGTATTAGAAAAATCTAAAGTGGATCAGGTCTGTTTGAATTAACTAATTTATAGTACCCTGAAAGTTTTCAATTGGTGAATAGCTTTCACTTAACTCCTCGTTTATACTTAAATTGACATGCCAACATCATCCGACTTGAATACATTAAAATAAGTTCAATTATCCGTAGATTTACTTGGGGTATTTTAAATCATTGCAAAATGATCGATAAAGATGTAAATTATATAAAATGTTGATCACTATCCTGACTCTTAGATTAATTTACCACCAACAAATATGTTAGCATGTTGCCATGGTTTGTTACCTAGTTTATAAAATATCAATCGAGGCTGATTGTAAAATACTAGTTAAATGAAGTAACCAGTAGTACCATGAGTGCATAAAATGAGAATAAGCATCTGTGGAGAAATAACCCCAGTCAAGCCTATCAGAGCACCAATGAAGGATTCCTGAAATCGTATATATTCTGACACTGGAGGCGATAGCTTTCCTTAGAATGACAATGAAGACGTCATGGTTAGATAGGGATCAATCAAATTTGATCACTTTCCTTGAAAACACATTAACATCTGTCGGTGAACTTCTTCCTTGACTTCTGCATAACAATACCAGTAAATGAAAGTATTTCGAAATAGATAGACCAATCAATGAACATAAATTTTAAAAGCACTTCGTTTTGTAGTTGATCAATTTATGATTTGAAACAGACAAAGTGAACTGAACCCAGAAAATATAACCAAGTATCTCGTATGGTTCTTTTGAATCATTTGGTCAGACTAAGGTCTAAAGGATAAAAGACCTACAGGAAAGACATAAGTA